CAAGCAAAAGTAAAAGCAAGTTTACAAACCGAGATTAGCCTACTAATCCCAACTCTAAGCAATACCTCCTATTACTTAGATGAGCCAGAGAGGAAACAGCACCGCTTACTATACTAATCCTAACTGATTAATATAGACCTTTTAGAGTAAGAGCCTAAGTTACCCTTAACCTAGTTCTTACAATGATTCAAACGAGTTTTAAAACATTTCTTTACAAGAAAACTGATCTTACAATATAAGAACTATTACAAGGAAACAAAATAACAGCTAATGCAAGAAGCTCTTGAAGCAATCGATCAGATCCCTTGTTGTTCTTGAAGCTTGAAAATATTTCTCTCTTTTTGTGTATGCATAATATTGTTGTCTCATGGTTGATATAAACCATGAAAAGTTATTACCAAACGTACAAGCAACATCCTTGCTTCTGATTGTTGAAGTACTCTGCAGCTTTCACCAACTCTCTAACGCAGACAACTTTTACAGTTGTACCGCACTTTGTCACTGGACGAGCGTACTCTGCAGAGGACCAGGTCCCTGCACATGTGAGGAGATCATCAAAACACCAAAAGACATAAGCTTTTATCAAAAATCATTCAGAACCTAATACAAACAAACCTCACATGTTTCTGGACATGTTAGAATCATTGACACACTGATCTGAGGTTGTCTATTGAATGTTGACCAATTTCAACTTTAAGCTTTTTAAACCTCAAGTTTCCATCCAATATCTTGAAATACTCTTGAATGCTTTGAGACACAAACTGACTATGAAAGATGAATTTATGAAGTTATGCATGTTTCTTTATGAAATTGATGAAAATGATTTAAGGTTTCTTTGAGAGTAAAGCATCAATGTTGTTGTTGTTATTGTGAAAAGATTTCACACAAACATGATTGTGAAAGGATTTTTTCACATAAAGGATTCATAAGGTTGAAAGGTATTCTTACCTAAGATGAATCAAGTTTAAGGAGTTGTTCTAATGAATTCTAGCTTGGATTGGCTACTTGATGTGCCTTCCATGGATGATAAAGACAAACGGCAATTACCCATGTCCCTTAATGATAAGACAAGTTAAGACTAATGACTTTTCCGCTGGATTTATGCTTAGCACCGAGTGGACAAGTGGTGATTACCCATGTCCCATAACTATGTGCCACCGTAGGTTTGTCTTAGATAGACATTAGCTAGTTGATCCACTAAAGCTTAAATTTTATGGTTCTTACCTTGACAAGGACATCTCTTTTTGGTGTTGGGTAGACACCGGATTCCATGTTGTAGCCCACATGGTCTATATGTCGATTAATGGCTACTTCCCACAATTATGAACTAAGGTTACTTCTAGAAGTATCTCACATGTGTTATAAAAATGATTTGACTTCCATTGATCCTGATCGTTTTCTAACCTTTTATCTTATGGATTAGCGTGGTCATTGCATGTCATGTAAAGTCCTTTTTAGCATGATTTCATAACTCTTATGCATTGCTATCATACTTGGTACATTCTATGTACTAACACATACTCTTGCCTACATTGTTTTCCCCAAATGTAGGGTTTGACGCTCCTATTCCGCATACTCTTGGCTAGTTGATACCTTTGTAGCTTTTGACAATTTGTGAGTCCTCATGTTTCGAGGATCGAGACTCTTTGTTGCTTTATGTCTTTTCTTTCGGATGTTGTATGTGATGTATGGGTTACGTCCCAATCACTCTTTTGATGTAACTAGTCTCTAGACACGTGCGTTGCACGTGTGTTCTATGTGAATTTTTATAGATTCGTTAGAACAATTAAAATTTTATTCAAAGTGAAGTGAGTAATATGTTTTTAATGTGCGTCAAGAAACACCAAATGAGGGGCACATTGTAATGTTTAAAATAAATTCTTTGAAGCTACCATCGGTAAATCAATTATGTTGAAGCTATTATCGGTAATTTTTAAACTTTGTTTAGTAGTTAACACACTTTCAATAAAGTCACAAATGACTAATTTGAGCCAAATAACAATACAAACTTACGATAATGATAAAAAAAATCATAAAAATTAGATTGGTGAAGTCTAATAGAGAAAAACACACAAAAAATAGAAGAAAAATTCAACATACACATCATTCGTAAGACAAATGCATATAGATTATATATATAGAAAATAAATATAGAATCAATAAGTTATCCATATTCGGAATTCGAAAGCTACAAGCTAAGTTTAAAGAGGAAAAACAAAAGGCACAGACCATGAGAGGGAAGTAATTAATTGCACTGACAAATCCTATAATTTGCAAATTTGTATAACGAAGTATGCATCATATTTTTCTCCAGAATAAGATAATATTTATTTCAGACAAAAGTAGAGACCAAATTTACCAGTGGTGCTTGACCATCATATTCATTGCTTCACACACACTACAACAAATATGATATATAGCTACAAAATTATTAGCTACGACACAAAATTCGTCACTATTTATTCGCTTTTAGTGACAAAAAATACATTTTGTGCTTAAATATATGGGTCACATATTTTTCGTGACAAAACATAAAACTTCGTAGCAAAATTTTGTCCACTAAAGTTTCCCACCAAAAATTGGATTGGCGCCATTTATTGAGGACTATTAACCACAAATTTGAAGTTATTAGTGACACAATATTATGTCACTAATGATGTTCCCAATTAGCGACAAACCATTTTTTGTCTCTAATTTAGTTGAATTTTGGATACGAAATTTTTTTGTCGCAAAAGGTATATTGATGTATTAGTGACAAATCATTTTTTGTCCTAAATTAGTTATATTTTGTATACGAAAAACTTTTGTCGCAAAAACTTATATTGATACATTAGTGAAAACTCATTTTTTGTCCTAAAATTAGTTAATTTTAGGATATGAAAAACTTTGTCGAAAAAAATATGTTGCTACATTAGCGACAAACTAGAGATTGTAATTAATCATTGTAAACTTTAGCCGCAATTTTTTATTATTCAATTGTGACCTTGATTTTTGTCACTAATAGTTCGAACAATTAGTGACATTTGTATTATTGTCTCTATTTAACCTACAATTTAGTTACAAAGAAATTTTGTCACAAAAAAATATATAAGTTCAAATGGCTACAACCTAAATTTCGTACTTTAGTGCAATTATTGGATACAGAAAAAAAAACCATAGTTCTAAATTATAACATAATTAATTTTAAAAACATTTTTAACTAACAAAAATTATAAGATTATATATTACACACCACACAAATATAATTTTTGTTCTAAAATATTAGACAATATTGCAGACAAGATATAAACGACGACACAATAAAAAAGATAAAATTCCTTAACACCATTAAGATAGTTTGAATAAAAAAGTTCTTAAACAAAGCTTCTAAAACTATTAAGAGTCTCTTCAAATTTTCAAACATACTATTGTTTAATTTGTAGAACTCTCAGAATCAATTTGTTGCATTTGTTTAGCAACCGCTATATATATATATACTAGATGGAGAAGGCCCGTGGCAAGCACGGGCCCAAAATTCAAACTAATATAGCTGAAATTTGATCAGTGAAGCAGCTATGTACTTATTATGCTTCTGAAAATATTAATGACGCAAGAGTCAAGACTACGGCAAAAAATGGTTAATATCATACTATTAGAAATATTCAAAATATGTACAACTGATGCAGTATGGTGTCTACTTAAGCAATCTGCAAACATGAACTAATGGTATACATCCAAAAGATATAGCAGATGTTTTAGTTTTGACATATAACATGACTATTTTGTAATTTAGCAGATGTAAAATGCTGAGTCAGAGTTCAATTTTTAGTAGCTAATCTTCTGCATTCAAAAAACCATAGCATCGGGAGCTATTGAGGAACCTGAGAAAATTGTGTAATGTTAGTAAACCTGAAAAGTTGAGGTAATTGATGATGGAAGTGAAACTGTTAGAAAAATGGCATATCACATAAGAATACGGTATAGCACACTACCTGGAAAGCTAGAACACTGAGGTGACCCAAAAAGCTAAATAGCTGATTTACTTCCTTCTCCCTACTGAACAAACTTGTACCAACTGAGAATCCAAAAAATTATCTTCTTCATTAAGAAAAAATCACAAAATCAAGGAAAAGACGTCATGTTATTAGACAGCGTAAAGTCCGTAAGAAACTAAAAATGTCAAGCACATTATAGTATATCCATAGTACTATGGGATAAAATCATGCAGTGGTAAAAGAGGAGCATCTGGCGAAATGCTGGCTGGAAGCAACATCTCAGATGTCATATTCAACATATCAAGGGAAAGAGTCGATCAGCTCAAAGTGCTCAAAATGGAATAAACACTGAAATCAAAGGTCTTCGAACAGAGAATGAAGGAGATAAAGTAGAGAGCTACGAAAGTTGCCTTTATATGCAACACTAAGAGGTCCAAGCAAAACTAAAACACTTGTTCAATCTTTGACCTTTTAGTCTATCAGTCTCGCATGATGATCGAAATATCGGTAATATGATGTCCATCCAGTGTTAGGTTGATAAATGTAATTAGTTTGAGTTAATGGCCACTTTCATTTGATCAGCTATATACATGGTTAATTACGTAAAAGAAAAGAATAAAAAAGAATCTAAGGAAAATTAATTCTGAATTCTTCCTACCCCAAACACTTCCCTTGAACAATTTAAAGGCTGAAATTGCTCTACTAAACAAAAAGATAACAGTGACCTCTTTCATGTTGTTCTTGGAGGACTTGGTCTGTTTGGCATAATAACTCTCACTTGAAAGAGCTCCAAAAATGGTAAAGAACAAATACCATAGAGTTCAAGAATATCAAGATATTTGTGTTTTCGATTTTTATTGAACATCTATTTTTGTTTTAATCAACAGGTGAAATGGATAAGACAGTGAAAATACGCCGATAAAGAAATAATAAGCAAAAGCAGAAACCATCCACAAACATTCAGACTAATACTACGATTTGTAAAAATGAAATCTTCAGGATAATTCTGAACTTTTTATTGCTAATCTCTCTTTTCCAACCTCCAAACACTCTTCTTGAACAATTTAAAGGCTGAAAATTGTTCTAACAGACAAAAAGATAACAACAAAAACACAAATTTCCAACCAAGACTAAATCTTTTTAGAATTTTAGCCACCAAAACAATTTGTAAAAATGAAATTTTCTTGCCAATCTCTCTTTTTCAACCTGTAAACACTCTAAAGCAAGGAGACAGTAGCATTTACTACAAAATTCCAATGGCCGAACAGACAAATAAGTTTACTAAAGCTACTTGTTGTGTTACTATACCAGATGTCATAACAATCAATATGAATCTATTTGGTTGTCTTTATGTGTAGTTTGAGTTCAATATAACGTGATATTAAGAATCTTATATAGATATTTAAAAAACAGGATTTTCTAAAATAAGGGTCAGGAATCGTCGTTATGCAACCTTTTTTTAATTTGGTAGTGTAGACTGACCTTTTACACCTTTTTTGTTAGTGTGGATGGTTCAAATTTCAGCTTCTCATGTGAGAAACCAGATGCAGTAGTTGTTTCCTGCTTCTCACCTCACTGATTCCTAGAGGCTTGATCTTTCTGGAATCCCTCTCAGTAGTGCTGGCGGAAGAGTCTGTTCCTTTTGCACGTAGGAAAGAACTAACGAAGTTGAATTTGACTCGACAACATCTTATGGACATGGTTAACATGCAACAATTGCTTCTGAAAAGGTAAAGAGTCATTTAGAGAATTTGTAGAAATAAGCATATATGCAAAACTATTTCTGATCAGGACAGATGGTGTTGCAACAATAGACGTGTAGAAGTAGCTAGCAAGAAAAAACATGCAAAGTATTAATGATATATGTAAATAAGAGGTCACCTTAATGCAAGTTATGCCGAATATGTTTTCTGCTGTCACGGAGAATAATTTTTCTCCCAATACAGCAGAAATGGATGTTGTGGCCGAAGCAGTGCCATCAATAAGATCAATTTCAAAGATGCGCCTGAAACCATGGAAAGTTTAATATTTGTGTATAATATATGCTATATTTTTCACAAAGTATAATTTACAAAACAAAAAGATAGTATTGAGGCACTAATGTTGTCTTCCGATTACATTTTGGGTATTCAAAATCCTTTTTATCCTTTGTGTGCTTCCTCTGTTTGTAGCATGAGCATTCACGCACACAAAACTCTTGCAGCTCATTTGATATTGACATTTCTTTCCTCAACATAGAAGAGTTCCATCTGTCGGAAAATAAAAATCACATATATAATACATACATATTGTAGACATCAGTAATCACATACATAAAATGTCTCGAATTACTCTTGAATAAATTTAAGTTATTTCTTTGGTTTAGCCAAAGCTAGACAACCCGAGGCATGCACAAAATTATGGGTCACTCAAATACCCCCCAAAAAATGAAACTCACAAGTACAATAAGAGAATCGAAAATATATTTAAAAATATGAAGATATCATTAAGTCAGTCAATAGAACTTGAAGTTAAAACTCATACGTCTTTCATAAGTAAATTCAAAAAACCTAATACAAGCAGCAAGACCTTGTCTAAGTAAAATTAATCTATACACCAAAAATTAATAAGCATACTCTCAAATGATCAACTCAAAGTATGTCTTAGAGAAGCTGGTGACGAAATTTCTGCCATAGGGATAACTTGTTTCCCTACAGCTGTCACCACCATGAGAGGGGTATATGAGTTGGTTGAGGTTTTTGCTGACGCGGGACTTAAAGACATCATTTTGTTTCCTTTTACCCTATTGTTGCACAAAATAATGTATTCAGTAGGTTCTTTAAATGCAAATTAAAGCTAGAGAATAATGATGAAATGTCAGTAATGACGAAAGAGGAGCTCATGCACAGAGTAATTTCAAGCCATTTAGAGATAACGGATAAAAGTAAGCCCAATTGACAATTTTCAGAAGCATGTAGTCCTTTTGAGATTCATTGGAGCTTCTTTCTGAATCTTGATGTTTCATTAATCCAAGGTGAAGCTGAACAACAACTCCTATTAATGCAAGAATTGGCTCTCGAATGGATTTATGAAAAATCAACACCTAATGGAACTTTTCTCTTACTGTAAGCTACCATTCTCAAATTCCAATCATTTGTTTGCTTTGTCCTTAGCAATGATGAATTTAGGAGATCTATGTTGCTGGTTTCTTGATCATTTTTCATCGTTAGAACAGGTTAGAGCCTCACATTGGTCGGGAAATGGAGTTATAGTCTCTTTGGATAATTCTCATTGTGAGCTAGCGTTTAAGGTTGGGTTAGGCCCCAGAGTTATATTTTCACATGATATTAGAACCAAGGTTCATCCTTGTTTCAGACTCATATTATGGGTTAGGCCCAGAGTCATATTTTCACGTGATATTAGAGCCAAGGTTCATCATTGTTTCAGACTCATATTATATTGTTGAATTGAACTTAGTCTACAATGACAATCTTGTGTAATACATAGCTTGTATAATGTTATGTTATTTTCCAAATTACATTGATAAAAAGTTTAATGCGTTCGTACCTTGATAAGTAGATATTCCTATACTCCTTTCAAGGATTACAATAAGATCTGCATCTTTTTCCATTCGAGCCTCAATTTCATTTCCTTCTATTTCTCCAAAATCCACCCATTGACAATGACCAAGCAACAACTCTAAAAAAATATTACTTCAACCACCACAGTGAGTATGTGTTATGATGATCCGATCTATGAAGTTCATCCTAGTACTCTAAAAGAAACATAAGAACTCGAAATTCTAAATCTCACAACTTAGCAATTTATATTCAGAAAAGAAAAAAGGACAAAAACAATAACTAATAGTTGAAATCCGTTTTTTTCTTTTCCTCTTTTGGATCTAATTGTTCGAAATCCTTAGAGATGCAATTTTTATCAAAGCAAACAACTAAAGTCCAATAAAAATTACTTTCAGAAATGTATTTATCACCATTTATCTACAAAAACTCCAAAAAGATACAAAGCTTTCTCTAATTGTGGCTATTTACTTTGATTCAGGTTTCAGAATAACTAAAAGACCATGAAAATAAATCTCAAACAGAGAAGAAAAGTCAAAACTTGAAGCACAAAACAAACCCGCAATCTAGTTATAAAATCAACTTTCAGTAATATATTTATCATCACTTACTACAGAAACTCAAAAAAGGAATAAGGCTTTCCCTAATTGTTGCTATTTACTTCCATTCAGGTTTCAGAATAACTAAAAGAACAATAAAACAAACTCAAAAAGAGAAGAAAAGTCCAAAATTCAAGCACAAAACAAACCCCACAATCTAGTATTTCCATATCTTTTGTCAATTAAGAAAAACAACCTCAAGAAACAAAGAAAATACAGAACCCCATTTCAAAAAATTGACAACACAATATTTAAATGTTACACTTACTGATTGTCACCAATGGTAATTTCTCGACACCTATTATTACCACGACCTGCAAATTTTAGAGGACCACAACGAAGAACGATTGTCAATATATTTGCTTATAATACATAAGGAAATGTTATAAGTGTGTGTATTAGTAAACATGTATATTTCAGCATGGTAATAGCTAGTAGGAACAATATACCAATTTCAGTCGTAGAATCAACAGTCATATGAGCAATGCGGAAAGGTTGTGACATTCATCTTGGTCGGTGGCGGAAGTGGTTTCTCAAGCTCATCAGATGGTTTGACATGTTGAATTACCGTTTCTTTGTCAAGAACCCAATAAAATTTATGTATTGGCTTACCGTACGAAGTTAAAGAAACTTTAACTCTTGCCATAGAGATGAGATAGGTATCCAAGAGTTTAAGCTTGTCTGCATATTGTTCAATTTCACCAGCATACATAACTGCCCTAATGTGGTGCTCCTGAAAGTAAAAATTATAGAAAATTGAGATTATACTACTCAACAATGAAAGTAAAGTCTAACTTTCTAAACAGTCACTTCTTCAAACACATCAGATGTGTGCAAAGAATAAATGTGAACTGAAATGTAAGCACTTCTCGATCCTTTGTTTGAAAGACATAAAACAAAATTACACTAATTTCAGTAGAAAAATTGAGAAAAAATGCACTCAAATAACAAACCAGCACACGATTAGGCTATCAACATGGGTAAAAATAAAAGAACAATATTCATCAGCTAATGACCTACAATTTATAAGTCAAATACATAGTAGTGAATATTTTAAACTTACCTCTTCATCTTCCAAAATCAGATTTTGAAATCTAAATTTCTTATAAGGACTTTCTCGCGGGAGACTCATGTCCACAATTTGAACTTTGCAAAATCCAATCTTGTTGTCTATTGCTATTTGGCCGATGTTGCATGAACAGTGTCGATTTAGTAGATAGAAAACAATATGGATATTTCAAACCAAATTAGGAACATGCAAGAACATAATTACCCATTAACATACTGAAAAAATAGAAAATGTAATAAATACCACCTAATTTTGCCTGCTCACTAACAAAATCGGAAGGTAAAGTAAGAATAATAACTCTGATTTTCTCCTGCCTAGTAAAAAATAGGAACTCCCATTCTGATTTTATCGTTTGATCGCAAACAAAAGCCGCAGGAAAAGTTGAAAAATGCAAAGAGGAAAAACAACAAAAGGAGAAAAAATACTTGAGAAGAGAAGAATAGCAAAACAACAAAAACTTTTCTTCAAGGGAGCAGAATGAATTTGTATTGTATAAATAAATATATAAAAAAAAACACGTAGTAATAGATACTCTAGTATATAAAAGTACAGCTGTCTTCTTAGAATGTAATGAGGTTTTGATAGCCAATGAAATTGGGCCAAAAAGGTGAAAAACATACTATTACATTTTGAACAGCCTTTGGTACAATTGTTTAATAGCAGCCTTTGGTACAATTGTTTAATAGTATATTCAGTCCAATTTGAACAGCCTTTGGTACAACTGTTTAGTGCTGTGTTGGTACAGCCAAACTGTCCTTTCTATAATAAGGGTAATAATATATATATATACACAAAGTCAACATATTTTAACAACACAAGTATCATCATAAAGTAGTATATCACTAATCTTACAAACTATATTCAAACAAAATTCACTCCAACCGTTCTATCATCTATTTTAACTACACAATCATATATTGTCATAATATCTTATTCAATTATAAGAAACTTTAAATAATTTCAGTCAGATAACCACCCATGAATAATTTTCTTGTGTCCATGAATGATATGGGTTCACTAGCTACATTACTTGTGTCCCAAAGGCAAGCCTTAATGAAAATTTACATAAAATTGGACAGAATTTCGCTTGTTTTTGGGCCTATATAAAAAAATTCCCTGTCTCAAATTCAATAACTTATCAAACCAATATCATCAAAACAAACCATAATATTCATCAACAATCTATTAGGATTATAATAATACTAAATCCATCTCCAAATACGAAAAGAAGTATAATACTATCACAAGTCACTAATAACGAAAGAATACTCATAACTCTAGTGAATTGACTAATGAAACGACTCTAAGAAGTTAAAAGAAAAGGAAAATAACAAATAAATAACTTCTTGCCGACCCAAAGCAATGCATGCACACGTGTATTTGTCAACTCATGCACTCTAGCTAAAGAAAGCATCAGTAATGTCACCTGTAATCTCTATAAGAAAAATATAGTGGAGAGTAATTCACTAACGCAATGAGTAATAACACTTAAACATACACATTTTTAATGGAAAAAAGTCAAAAACATGTTAGTATAATAATCAGAAAATATCATTAAATAAATGTCTTTTTCGAAAATGATAACAATAACGTGATTTCATTTTTAAAATGCTTAAAAGGTTATCCATCTTCTTCCCAACAAGCCTTGCAGCTAACAATAACCTGATATCCAAATACACACTGTCATATCATTTTTAATTATTTTTTTAAGGGAAAATTCATTAGTTGGAACAATTCAAATAAATAATATCAACATTGACAGGAACGAAACTATTAGCGAAATTTCTGAATTACACATCCTATCATGCTAGAGTGCTTAAAAGAAACAACAATTTTACAGACCATCAGAGGGTCTCAAATGGTCTTTGAATGTATACACATGTCGGATTTTCACTACTAAAAAACAGCTAAAACTCGACGGAAGTAAAAGCGACGGACGGCGTCGCTCCAAAAAGCGACGTCATTAGCCACACTGTCCGTCGCTTATTAATAAAAATAAATTTTTTTTAAAAAGCGACGGATGGCATCGCTTAGTCCGTCGCTTATTTCCGCGGATTTTTACACCTAATATATATAATGAATAATTAATTATTTTATATAGATAGCGACGCAATCCGTCGCTTTCTATTAAAATAATTATTTATTAATTTAAAAAAAAGTCATATTGTCCGTCGCTTTTTATTAATTTAAATTCTTTAATTATTCTTTTAAATAAGCGACGGAATGCATCTTTATATCAGTCGCTTTTTGGTCAAATATTTTAAGAAAGTGACGGACGGTGTCTCTTAGTCCGTCGCTTTTTGGTCAAAATGTTGGTCAAACATTTTTAAAAAAAGCGACGAACATAGAGACGTTGTCCGTTGCTTTCTTTAAAATATTTGCTAGTGCAGACGGGATTTTCCCCATTTCTCCATCTCTCTTCTTTCTCTCTTCTCTCCGTCCCTCTTCCTCTCTCTCGACGAAGTGACGCCGTCGCCCCTGCCCACCGCCGATCCCCACCCTGACCCACTGCCCTTCTCCTTTAATTAAAGGTTAATTAGCGTTTATAGTTCCATTTTTAATTTCTTTCAATTTGAGTATTGAATTTGTTAATTAGTTCATTGAATTTGTTTTTTATTGATTGTTAGTTTAATTCATTGTTAGTTAATTAGTAAGTGAATGATTTAGGGTTTTTGATTTTGTTAATTAGTATTGAATTTGTTTTTTATTGAATATTGTTTTAAGTTTAATTGATTGTTAGTTTGAATTAGGGATTATTTGATTGTTAGTTTTGTGTTTCTTGATTGTGAATTGAAAATTTTTAATGTTAGGGTTAGTTTGAATTAGGGTATCTTAGGATTTGTTTGAATTTCGGTATTTCTTGAGTTAATTAGTTTGATTTTGGAATTGTAAGATTAGTTTGAATTATTATTGAGATTTTAGGACTAATAGTTTGAATTTGGGATTAGGAATAGGTAGCTAGTTTGAATTTAGGATTTTAGCACTAGTTAAATTTCTTTAGAACTTGAACTTGAACTTAGAACTTGAACATGAATTTAGAACTTGAACTTGAACTTAGAACTTGAACATGAATTTAGAACTTGAACTTGAACTTAGAACTTGAACATGAATTTAGAACTTGAACTTGAACTTAGAACTTGAACTTGAAATTAGAACTTGAACTTGAACTTAGAACTTGAACTTGAAATTAGAACTTGAACTTGAATTTAGAACTTGAACTTGAACTTAGAACTTGAACTTGAAATTAGAACTTGAACTTGAATTTAGAACTTGAACTTGAACTTGAACTTAGAACTTGTACTTGAACTTGAACTTGAACTTAGAACTTGTACTTGAACTTGAACTTGAACTTAGAACTTGTACTTGAACTTGAACTTGAACTTAGAACTTGTACTTGAACTTGAACTTGAACTTAGAACTTGTACTTGAACTTGAACTTGAACTTAGAACTTGTACTTGAACTTGAACTTGAACTTAGAACTTGTACTTGAACTTGAACTTGAACTTAGAACTTGTACTTGAACTTGAACTTGAACTTAGAACTTGTACTTGAACTTGAACTTGAACTTAGAACTTGTACTTGAACTTGAACTTGAACTTAGAACTTGTACTTGAACTTGAACTTGAACTTAGAACTTGATCTTGAACTTGAACTTAGAACTTAGAACTTGAACTTAAACTTAGTTATTGAAGTTAAACTTAGAATTTGAACTTAGAACTTGAACTTGAAATTAGAATTTGAACTTAGAACTTGAACTTGAAATTAGAATTTGAACTTAGAACTTGAACTTGAAATTAGAATTTGAACTTGAACTTAGATTTTGACTTGAACTTGAACTTAGAATTTGAAGTTAAACTTAGAATTTGAATTTGAAATTAGAATTTGAACTTGAACTTAGATTTTGACTTGAACTTGAACTTAGAATTTGAAGTTAAACTTAGAATTTGAATTTGAAATTAGAATTTGAACTTGAACTTAGAATTTGACTTGAACTTTGAACTTGAACTTGAAATTAGAACTTGAACTTGGAACTAATTAGCTTGAATATATAACTAATTAATTTTAGAAATTAGATATGAACTTGAATTGAAAACTTGAACTTATTAAACCTTGAATATATATATTATATATATAACTAATATTCTTGGATTTGAAGTTTATATTTAACTAACTTTAGAACCTTTTGTGCTAGGCAACTGAGGAAGCTCAACATCTAAAATAGTTGATACAAGACTATATTGCTTCTTTAATCAAAGTAGGAGATAAGGTTGGTGCTTCTAAATTTCTAAAGTTCAAGTACAATTGTTTTCAATAATGTGTTTGTGTCCATCGATGATCTAGTATTGATACTTAGCTTTAATTTTGTAAAAAACATTTGTGTCCATCGAGTGTTTGTTAAGCATAAGTACCACACTAGTTGATCCTATTGATGACAAAATTGATTTTCTTGCAAGATCGACTTGTGTCCATCTAGTGTTGATATTAAGCTTAATTTAGGAATAATGTGTTTGTTTAGCATAAGTACCAACATTAATTGATCCTATTGATGACAAAATTGATTTTCTTGCAAGATCGACTTGTGTCCATCTAGTGTTGATATTAAGCTTAATTTAGGAATAATGTGTTTGTTAGCATAAGTACCAACATTAATTGATCCTATTGATGACAAAATTGATTTTCTTGCAAGATCGATTTGTGTCCAACTAATGCTGACACTTGGCTTTAAAAAGTTATAAAGTTGTTAAAGTTAAAAAGTTAAGTTGTTTAAATAAGTTAAA